ATGATTACTTAGAAAGTAAAACTTTTTAGAATTTTAATTATTTAATTTAAAAGTTGTTATTATTAAAATATCAGTTTTATACAAAATAAATTATAATAATAAATAGTCAAGTAAATGTAATAATAGATATTAAGTACACCTATATATATAAAATATATCTATTGTATACTTATAGATATATATATAGTAAATGTATATATACATATCAAGTATGTCTATATATAATATATTATATAAAAATAGATAATACATACAGATAATGTGTTCAAGCCTCAACTTCAACAAATATCAATAAGGTCGTAATAGCCTATCAAGAAAAATTATTTCACGACACTGCATTAGCTCACATCAATCTAATGATAATATTTTTTTTAATGTTGCAATCATCCATGATTAATCGAGGCTTAATTGATATCATCTAGAGACTAAATAACCTTGACGATGTCATGATAATAATAATAATAATAATAATACCAATATATACCACAATAAGACAATAATAATACCATAAAATTGAAGATTCGATAATGCCGATCGACAATCAATTTTTCCACATATCGAGATATTTCGAATATCAACCTTATCGCTAATGTTACCGAAAGCACCACATATTCTCTCTATTCGTGTAACAAGCGTTATTATAAAACACAATAACTCTAGACGGAGTGTAAATGATTTTCTCTTTTGTATTCTCATACTCATCGAACTCATCGAACTCAAGTTTAGAGCCTCGTGGTAGAGTCAGGGCGACGTCATAACTATAGTCGCTCTATTTTTGCTTATCTCGACTTCACTGGTTTCTCCCCTACTGAATCTCTTTCACACTCGTGTATTTCTGGCAAGACTTCTCGCGAAGTACATACACACGTGAAGCTGAAGCGCAAAAAAACACAGTTCGAAATATTTCGATTAAATCTATTTTTGTTCTCATTCTTTTCCTATATAAATTGTGATGAAAAATATTATCGTCATAATAAAAAGGATGCTGAATCGAATTGCAAATTCCATGATGCTATTGTGCATTTAAAACTTTACAAAATTTTGTCTGAATGTAAGAAAATAATAGATTAAATAGAAAATTAATGTTGTTCCTCGATGTATAGTTTTAGTATCATCAGCAAAATTATTTTCTTTTATTTATTTCAAAAAATATTCGAAGCATTCAGTTCAAACTTTATTTTAAAATGAACTTAAAAAAGTGTAGTTAAATTAGAAATTTATTACAATTATGGGATCAAATACTTTAATTTCTTACAATTTATAATTATAAAAAAGTTTTCAAAGTTTTAAAGTTTGAAAGAATACTTAATCTCTCTGAGACACACTACCTGGTAATTTGAGCAAAATTATTTTTGCTCGCTATAAATTTAAATTACGTGTTCAAATAATATTGGTTCCTTTTTTTTATTATAAATTAATATAACAAATTCCATTAATGCATGAATAAATTCCAATAAATAATTGTAATTATAAATAGAAACATGTAACCATTAATCCATTGTAAACGATATTTTATTAAGTTAATTTAATATTGTTAAAAACAGGTTAATCGATAATCAATTTGTCGAAACCGTTATAAAACTATCGAAAAATTCAACAATTGCTTTACCCACATTACTGATACTTTAATACTAAATTGAGAATGTTTGTACAATACTAGAAGCTGTTAATAATTTGCGCCGCAAAAGAGTGAAATGCACACACGCCGAAAAAGTTTCACATCGCTTTTGCTGTAAATTATGAATATTCGGAAAATCAACAAATAAAGAATTAAAAAAATTAAAGATATACAAAATTTAATTAAAAAACCGCTAAAAGCATTTCAAATATTAAATATTGCAATCTAAAATATATTTCTCTCAAAAATGTTATAACTTGTAAAAAACTTTATAGATCGTCAAATCCACCTACTCAGAAGTTAAAAATTCTGAAGCATGCTTCTCGAGAAATCTTAAAACATCTCTCGGGAAATCTAAAAATTTAATTATCTATGGATTCAACATTTATCTTACAAGACCTTTTCAAGATTTTAAATTTTTATAGACCCGCGTAGAATGCAGGATCATTAATAATTAAGACAATATACAAAGTTATTTTTAAAATTAGTAGTCATTGCATTACAATTTTGTAAAATATTTATTCAATTAAATACTTAAGACTTCTAAATTTTGATTATACTGTTAGAAATTTATGACCTATTATTATTATTTTAATTGTTTTGTTCCACCTTAGATCTCTCAAAAGTCACCTTATTTTTTAAAAGCCGTATCTTTAATAGACTGTCTATTCTCTCTCTCTCTCTCTCTCACTTCATTTATCTAGTATACTTGCATTTCTTATCTATCACATGCAAGTTGTGATCGACACCAAAGCTTTCCCCGCAATTTTGCGAAAGAAACGAAATCGTTTTTTATGATTGTTTACGTTTACAAGGTGGAGAAAGCTATTTCTGACCTTTGCTGGTGAGACTGAAGCTACGAAGTCTGTAACTATCCTCATCCTCGCCTTCCTCCCGTGGTGGTATCTGAGAAGAGACGTCAGGCACATCCAGGAAGGCGTTGCTCTTCCTCTGATGCGAATAGTGCATGCTTTGTCCCCTTCGACTCCCTCGTCTCCTGATCCCCGGACTGACGTCATTCTCAGTCAGTCTGGGTTCGCTGCTGCAATGAGCTGACTTCATACTGGCTCCCTCATGATGATGATGATGATGATGAGCGGCCGCTGAAAGCGACAGGATTATAGATATTAATGCATCATTCAATATAAATAAACAGATTTCGTCAAAAATATATAAAACGGATTTCAATAACGATATCTATGTATCACTCTCACACTAACACATATTGCATATATATATATATATATGTACGTGCATAAATAATTTTGTATAATATTAATATCATTATAATAATATTATCATATAATATTATTATAAAATATCAAGATTTTAATTATAAAAAATATAAAAAGTAAAATTATAAAAAGTATAAAAAGTATAAAATAATTATTATAACAGATATTAAAATATAATTATACTTGTAAAAAATGTTTATAAACAAAAAAATTTATCGTATTGCTTAATGAACATTTAAAAATTTTAATAATTTTAATAATTTTTACCTACTATTTTAAAGCTATCTTTCTGTTTTCGAATTATATATGTGCATGCATTTTATACAAAAACGTGAAATACCTGTACTCGTATCGAGAGCACTGGCTTTTGTCAATAAAAAAATTTAATTTTTCCAGAAATATATTTTCAATATTTTACAATGTAATGTAACAATAATAGATTTTATAACAGGAAAAATATGAATGTATTTTAATGAATGATAAAATTATTTTTTAAGGGAATCATTGGCAATATGAATAAGACAGAACAAAAAACATCTTTTTCGACCGCATGCCAACCGAGCTTTTTATCAGCAAAGTGCTTGAGAGTAAAGCAAAGAACAGAACATTTTTCAAAGGCACTACATCTATTACATCGCAAAGTCGACGCGTGGAAAGTCAAGTGATTTAATATAACCTGGAAATGAAATTAAACGACACGGAAAAGAAAAGAGAAGTGAACTTAGAATCGTTTACGAATATTTGCTCTATTTAATCACTAAGTTTATTGAACAGACAAATTTTCCCATTTTATCAATTTCAAGAGAATAGGATCTTTCACATTCCAATGTTATTACAATTAGAACTTTCAAAGAAAGAAGCTTTGAAACAGAAGCTGATTTTTCCGCATCTGTAATATTAAAACAATGGATTAAAGCTGTATTTAATCCAATGCCTAAAATTATACTTAATTTAACAACTAATTTTATTTTATTTATTGTAAATAAATAATAATTCATATTAATAATTTATGCAATACGATCCAATTAATTGATACATTTTCGTAATTTTAACATCTTCGATAATTTTAAATAATTTTATATAAAATATATATTTTCAAATATTAGATAATTTGTTATAATATCAAATAAAATATTAATTATTTGAATAAACATTTTAATAACAATGACTTATTAAACACATTATACATTTCTACCGCTCTCTTGACATATTATACTGAAATTTTAGCTCTTTTTCTCTTAATTAAAATTTAATAGTCTTGCTTGCATTACATCTCCACAAACAACACAAATTATCACTCTAATTAATCCTAGTTTTATTAATACATTTCCGTGTTTCAATGTACATTCAAAACGGCGAAATTGCTAACGTATTTAATGATGAAACTGATTTCTAGGCTTGCAAAGATACGCAATACATATCTTTGCAATGTATCGTGAGACGTGTTTGGACTGTCAGTGACCTACTAGCTAAATCCATGTCCGAGAATAACGGCCGCCAATGATTTCAAGAACCCTCGCTAGACTCAGCGTATTTGCCGGTGCGATATCGATACACTTTGCTCTTTCATCAGGAAGGATCGTACGTCATCTATGACGTTTCTATGAGCTTATCAGACACTATCGAACCGTTCGGTCACCACACCATGCAATCTTGTCGCACAAAATTGACTTTTACGTATCTCGAGATCTCAGCTAACAATGTTCATCATTGAGAAAGAATTGAAGATGCACAAACCGATTTGACAATTTAAATTTTCATACATATGAATAATTACATATCCTCGAATTAAGGAAAGCAAGAAATGTACAAAGTGAGAGCCTTTGGAGAATAGAATCGACAAATCTTAAAATTTGTTTAAACTTGAGTTCAGAAATTAGCGAATTTATTCATTTTAATCTAATCCTTTAAATTCTCGAGTCTTTGAATCCTTTTGGGAATTAAATACAAGTCTCAATCGGATTGTAAAAGCCCACCTGCGCAACGAATAAATTACTTATTCATTTCCCATTCCTGCCGTTTTATCATTACCTTGAGCAGCGGCTCGGCGTCGGATGCTTTTATTTCCGCCGGAAACACGGGCGCTCTGGGATCTTGTAGCCGGTCTCCGTCTCCTCGTAGGTGTACTGCCATCCGGCGTTCCGCTCCCACTATCTCTTTCTCGTTCTCCTCTTTCTTTCTCACGAGCTCCCGAGGGTGGCATAGCTTCCAACATTTGTTCCATGCTGGAAAATCCTGGGGCACAAATCGAAGCCGATCTGGTTTTCCGGCGAAAAGAGTTTTCCGCCATTCTTTCAAGTTACAAGCAGCCACTACTATCTCTCCCTTCCTTAAGCTTAATCACTCCCCCCCCCCGCCTCACTCGGATCTTTTGTCTTATATTAATTATCTTTTACAATTTTCTCGGTTATTATGTCCTTCTTCATGGATTAATATCGAATCCTGCTACGACTTTGTAAAGTTTTTATATTTCACTTATAATGAAACACAAATTATATTGATTCGTATTACAATTATATCAGGCACTTTTTTACCGTAAATTTTCCACATTTAAATACAAACGTTCGTAAAAGTTTGTGCACGATTTCTTTCCGACTTGACGTTCTTCGCAGGAAATGTTTGGTCGTGTTTGATTTCCGGAATGTCTTTTCAAATGTCGCAAACCTTCCATTCGTGGAATTCGATTACCAGAAAAAATATCAATTCAGAAAAATTTCTACAGGATATCCAAATAAGGATATTATAGATCCAATATTATAATGATCGATTTTGTTTCATTCCGAAGAGAACCCACACATTCTTCTTAACTCTCTACAAATAAAATATGAGATTTTCTTTTGGCTTCGTGCACGCGAATGATATAATCAGAGTAATTACGGCCGTGGCAAATTACGTCTCTCCTAAACTCTCGGTAATATAACTGACATCTATGTTTTCTTTTTTGTGCTGTATCTCCCCCCGTCGTTATTCTATCGGAGGTGAACTCGCAAGCTAATTAGATCCACCCCGTTGATTATTGCCTCAATTATTCCATACACGATCACGAAAACTTTGAAAGCTTGTATAAATACAAAAATTATACAATGTTCTAAATTGTGAATATTTATTTCTTAAATATTCACACTCATAGAAGACATTAAATATTCTAAATAATCATTTTTTTAATTATTTCAAACTTTAGAAGGTTTTAGCACTTTTATTATATATTAAAAAACATTATTTTTAAATAATTTGGCTTATACTTTCAATTATAAATTTGTTAAATAAGATTAAAAAAATGAATGTTTATTTAAATCTGAATTTAATAAATACTTCATTATAAATAAAAATGTATTTTTAAAAATTTTATTATACTTACAGCACTTTCAGTTAATCAAAGTTAATTTATAAAAAATTCATTTTTAGTAATTCAAAAATTAAGTATGTTTAAAATTCAAGTAATTACAATATTATTTTTTCCATAAATAACAATTATTAATAAAAAAAACGAATATGTATTAATTAAATGCTTTATTAAAAGCTTCATTAAAAATTATATTCCGCCGAAATGACTGAGCCAGACGATCATTTGATTTACAATTAGTAAATCCATGGATCCAAGCTCAAACTCACACTATGAATACTTATACAAGTCTACATACACTATATATCGTACATACATATACATATATTTATGTGTAAATACAGTGAATTGAAAAAAAGTAGAAATCAAAGATAACAAATGTAAAGAAGAAGAATAAAAAGTCTAGATGTTAAAAAATCTTGTGAAAACTATAAAAATTAAAAAAGAAACGGAAAAATTAAAAATGCTAAGTATTAGGATATTATATTTAATATTTCCTTCTTAATATAAATTCACGTTTTAAAATTAACTTAATCAATTTAAAGCTAATTTAAACAAATTTAATTACAAAATTTAAACAATCAAAAAATGTCTTGCCCATTTATAATTAAAAAGGATATAGATCAATATCAAGAATACAATTGGCAGCATCCGAAGTTTCAGACTCGGCATAGTTGAAAGACAATTCTGTTGACTGTCGAAGCTGTCGAAGTTAGTGAAGAATGAACAGTGATATATCGGGAAGATATCAGCGCGTGAAGATGTTCTGGCAACTATAATCGAGTGTCGACAAAAGCAAGCTCAGTCCAACTCACAAATACAACTTTGCGTTACCTTAATAATATATATTATTCAGATATTATATCATTATTTTGCTCTAATTTGTCAAACTCCTCTACTCTTCCACAATTATAAATAAATTAAAAAAGATGAATCCACATAAAGGATTATTTTACGTCTGCTATTATCACAATACAAGTATCGCAAGTTTCCGTTTATAAAAGGGGCATAAAACAACAATGACAAGGAAATATCTTCAACGAATGCGATGTTGCAACGGACTTTATTTAAAGCACTTCTGTCGTAAGGTGTTTCCTTTGTGAAATAATACATCACGCGAGGACGCGTTTATCATAGACTACAGGATTAAGTAGAGAAACTGAAGCTTTCCTCTGACAGGAGTTAGAAAAGGTCTTACGAGTTCCTCATCGACATTATATGTTAAAATCGATAGCCTGCATAAATGCTTTATGTATTCACGCAACATAACTTCATACATAACTTCACATTATTATATCGAAATTGCGAGTTATCGTGTAAAAGTAATATGTTACCTTCTTAAAATCTTTGATACTCTTTCTCATGTCTTATTATTTTTATATTATTGTATTATTGTTATAATGAATAAAATTTTAAAGTTTATGACATAGATATACTAAAAAAGTAATAAGTCAAGTTCGTTATATTAGTTTGTCTGTATGTATAAATGTATAAATAATTTAAATAATCATGGTTTTCCTGTTTCTTACACGTACAACAACGTAATCACTTTTACATTATTTAATCATATTTCTCTTGAACCCAACATGAAGTATTAATTGAATCTATCAGAATTTTTAACAATTTTTATTCAACTCTATAATTTCTTCAATTATTGGACATTTAGATTTAATCTAAATTACAGAAAATGGAATGAATATTGTACACGTAATATTTCAAAATATTTATAAAATATATGAAATGTAACTTCTCTCTGTGTTTTCTACCCTTCTGCGATAAGTTCAAATCATTTATTTATATATGTGTGTGTGTGTGTGTGTGTGTGTGTGTGCGTGTGCGTGTGCGTGTGCGCGTGCGTGTGCGTGTGCATGTGCGTGTGCGTGTACGTGTGCGTGTACGTGTGCGTGTGCGTGTGCGTGTGTGGTGTGTGATGTGTGTGTGTGTGTGTGTGTGTGTGTGTAAAACTCTTTTTTGCTCGAATATCTTTGTTTTCCTTCCCAAATATCAAATCTCTTTTCAGAAGAATATGTAATGTTTTATTTCGAAGATAAAGAGACAGAAAGATCAAATTTGAAACATCATCAACTTGTGTGAATAGAATATGATACATTCATTTAAATAACTCTTTTGAAACTATATGTATTTATGTTCAAATAAGCAATATTATTTCTCTTAATATTCACTGAAATAAGATGCAAAATTAAATTCGCTTGCATTAAATATAATATAAAATATTTTTATATTAATATATCGCATTAATTGGCGTAATGACAATTTAATTTAGTTTGTTAATATTTTTAATAAATATTCAAAATAATTTTAATTTTTCTGTAATACAATTTTATACAATTTTTCTGTAATACAATAATAATACAATTTTAATTCATGATTCTCAAATATCTAAAATGTATAATACTTTATTATAATAGAAGCTATGAGACAATAATTATTTATCCGTTAAAATACTAACAGTATACTTTTTCATTTAACTATTTAATGTTATTTAACTCACCACGGAAGGATTAAGGACAAAACAAAAAGAGAGAGAGAGAGACCGGGCGCCCTTCGAGAATTTCAAAGTCGGAGCATCGGATTTTTTCTTCCGTGCGATAATCACTCCGCTCTCCTGATAGACTTATTTTTTCCGACGACTAATTATAGATAATGTTTCACATAAATCTTCTATGGAGAAGCATAAACATCTCCGCCAATCTGTCCCCCCATATATTCATCTCCGTATCTCACTCCTTCAAGAGCTTGCCACGTCCGTAATTATCCCTCTTTTTCGATAAACTCGGTAACCTCTGCCCTTTAACTAATTATATTGAGAGTATATTCGCACGTCTCTCTGTCTCAAGATATTGTTTTAAGATGTTACCGATGCCTACTCTTATCTCCTCCGATTTAGAATTCGGAGATCTCTCCGGATCGAAATGTCGCGCGCAATGATCGATCCTTACCACTTTAGGCCGTCTACGACTGTGAGATATCTCCTTATCATTTTCTACTTCATCCTTTTTTGCGATTATGACTCGAATCACATGTCTCGACTGCTCACTCACGAGCACAACACGACCGACACAATGCACGTCCGACGATGCGCGGCACACTGATGGCAACCCGGCGTCGTGGCGGCTCCCAGGGCGAGAACCGACGCTAGGCGTCGGCGTCGGTTCTCTTGCACGCCCTCAACGCCGACCACAACGAAGATCACGATGAGAACTACGACGAAGAGATGACGGTAAAGTTGGTGCGTGTCCAATTATCTGGCTTTTTAGCGATTCGTTGAATGCGTGTTGAATGAGATGCTTTCCGAAGAATCAATCAGAGAAACTACACGGAATCTTTCATCAAAAAAATATTTGTACGTTAATTATTTAAATTCAATTAAAAGAAGTGAATGCAATATCAATGTGTGAGAAATGAACCAAAGGAAATGAATACTTTTAGAAAGCGGAAATGCTAGTCTAGAAAGTTTCACGCTTTAACTCCTTACAAATGACATGCGCTATAACTCAATAAAAACTTCATTTTCATTAGATCGGCAGCACTAACTTTGCGTGACTTACAATTTCTCAGCAAAAAAAGTCATTATTTTGTTTTACCATAAAATTTCTTTGCTATTAGAGCTTTAGAAAATATATCTAGAATAATATCTGCTAACTATTGAATTAAAAATAAAGTACTAAAATTTCTTTTCGACTTTGAATAATTTAGAATATGTGCGGAGTAAATTTCTGAAGAAAATAAAAGTTAATAAATTGTTATCAACGTCGATTAATAACATAAAAAAATTACGATTTATCGAATAATAAAATAATTTATTATATGTATTAATCTTTATACTACAATTTTCACAAATTAAATAAGGTTCTCAATTAGTTAATTTGTAATCAAAATATGCATAAATAAAAAACATTTTATTTTATTACTAAATTTGATTTTATCTTGTATTACTTTAAATTATTATCTTATAAAATTATTATCTTATAAAAATTTAAACTTTTAATATTATTCAACACAGCATCGATTAAATCGGTGGATATTTTTGTATGCATGTAAAATAATGTTGTACACATATTTATAAATTAATAAATTTTCTTAGACGGCAAATATAATACGATTATCAGATTTTCTATGTTACTATCTCTAAATTGATCCGATGACGTAGCATGACGTGTTCGTTCTAAACACCAACCTGTTTAAATTCCGGTAATAGATGACGAGATCCACGAAAGCTGGCTCATGTCAGCTTTCATGAAAATTACTGCGAAGTGTAATTTTAAATCGTTTCAAAGGAAAGTCATCGCTCTGGCACCATTATCCCACGTTGGCACTGTTTGTCTTGTTCGAGAAAATATCTATCTACTTTGCTTTATACATATAAACAAAATAAACAAACTATTTGCTTAAATCTTAATCAGGATTTAGTTTACATAGTCAGCGTATTTAATTATAAAATATACTGAGTCACCATTCCAATAAACTGAGTCAGTTCTAATAAAATAGAAGTGACTTTCTTGAGAAAAAGAGAGAGAAAATATACTATTATTTAGGTTTCTTTTGTTTAATCATTAATTATCTAATAAGTTGATAATTCTCTACGATTATTTAATATAATTGGCCGATATAAAGCAACCAAAGAAACAGAACATATAACTCTTAAAAATTTATACAAAATAGTTACATATTTTAAGTTTCATATAGTTTCACAATGCGTCATGTGTCAAGCAGAAAGAAAATTCTAAGAAGATATGCGCTTCAACAAACGAAAATAGAATTCTAAACTATTGTAACGTTGATTATCAATTTAAGAAATGAGGATTTTCATCAAAACAAGATAACAAGTCTTCAAAGTTTTGGATAAATATAATTTTCCAATTGGAAATATATTTCATCGATTCAAGTTGTTGTTATATATTTATAATTCTAAGAATTTAAAAAAATTCTAAATGCCTAGATTTAATTTTAATATATTTACAAATATCTAAACAAAAATCTCTTACAAGTATCTAAAATTTTTTAATTTAATAAATTTTTATATCTGTATTAGAATATTATCAGATTTGTAATAAATATTAAATAATAATCACAGAATGTAGTTTAAAAATAATAATAGGCTAAATTTGTGTATCGTAAATCGAAAAGTGTTTGTGATAGATTTCTGACTTGCTGACGAAACACATTTTAGAATCATAAAGTTCATCCAGAACATTAAATTTCTTCCTTTTTGTCATTAAGCGATACCATGTCGTTAAGCGATACCATGAAGAAAGAATAATAGCACTATTTACTCTACAATCTACATAATTTGGAAAAATGTTCGCATGATATAAAACTCATTTTGTCCATTCAATTGTTTTAATTGGACCCAATTTTTAAATAAAAAAATATCTATCTTACAATTAATAGGGAATCGAACTCAAGATTTGTTCCTAAGAAACGCTTATTATTCACCGACATTGCATTTTTCTCTTCATCTCATTTTGTCTCGTTCACCCAGCATTAGACTCAACGCCGTACGGTATATTTTTGACTTGTGAAATGGTCTAAAGCTATTTCAAGACGAAACCGAATCAACCTCCTACACCAATACGATTCTTCGCTCCCACTCTCCTCTGGCCTCTTTGTGGGCCCTGACATCCTCCCTTTTTTGTCCCTGAAAACACTTTTTCTCTCAAGGATATTCTGTCGAGCTGTCCAGCTAAAGATATATGCATATAAGTACATATAAAATGTTAAAGAAAGAAAAGGTCGCGTTTGTATAGATTATCTAAATAAACAGTAAATTCGTACATAGCCACTGAAAGAGTGAATAAAGAAAAAAATCGTTCAGTATGATTAAACTGACGTAGCTAAATGCGATTATTAATTTTGGATAATTTCTGGCTTGTGTAACTACGAATTGTCAGTAAAATTTATTCAACATGGTTCATGGCGAAACTTCTCAATGTTCATTGCAATTCTCCTTTATTGTATTAAAAGACGAGTTTAACTGAATTTGCAGTTGAGTTTACAACCGAGATCCCATTTGCTCAGTAATCAAATTTGATTTCTGCAAACCATTGCAGAATTTCCATTCTGTAGTAATAAATGTTTTAAGTTGATTAATAAATTCTTTAAACTGTTTGTAACTAACTTGCTTTTTATATAATTTATTCAAAATTAGTTTTATAAAAATTATGTTACATTATTTTACATATCAAATATTTCCATATTTAATCATAAAAATTACTAAAGCACGTGTACAAAGTGGCTTGAACAATAATTCCTTACAGGTCAGCGGGATAATCTATCTGATGATTCAACACGCACAATCTAATCGTGGTGCGCCACATTCGAAATTAGGTAGTCCTAATTGCAAATGCCATCCGTTGCGGATAGTTGCTATGGGAATGTGTATGTGTGTGTGTATATGTGTGTGTTCAGAGAATTGCTTACTTCATTAATTCACAGATCCGAGCATCTGCGGCAAATATATTTGATATATTCCCTGTTAATTGTAAGATAGACATTATCATGAATCGAGTCCAATTAAAACTGATCAGTGAATAAATGCAACAAATCGAATATTGATATACTAAAACGCCAACTTCTCATTTGATACTGCAGATATACTTTCATCGTATAAAAAGCATAAAAATAAAAAAATCAATTTTTTATTGAAGCTAAGTAATGAATTAACACCGCTGCAAAAGTCGCATTAAATTTATCGTTGACTTTTTGTTTGCTACAATTTTATTCGCGCGATAAGTGTATTTATATTTCCTCTTAAAAACCGACAATAGTACGTTCCAGCAAAGCCGAAAGTATTGCTGTGTCAGAAATCTCATTTATCATTGCCAATCCGACACTTTGTATCAAATGATTTTCCCATAGCACGTCTGTCAATCAAAAAAGACGCGCCTTGCCGACATCTACCTGTGTATCTTCTCTGAAAGATCTTATTGTAATCATGTTAAAACGAGAAATAAAACATTCGAAATTGATTGTCCATGATGATCAAATGATAATTTTGTGAACCTGAAAATGGCAAATCATGGAATTGATCTACGAAATTTACGAAACACATATCAAATTTATTTTTAAACATGTACCTATTTTTATATATAGATTTTTATATATAGATTTTTATATATGGAAAAAAAATTAATTGGTATAGCCAACCTGTAACTTACTTCAATCTATAATTAAGAAGATTTGATGATTTAATCGCTAATATTATTCAGTCAACTTTGCTACTTTAACATAGAAAATTGACTGTCTGTATATTATGACTGTAGATTTACTAAATTAGTGAAGTTTTCAGCTGTTTTTTTCCGTGTACTGCATTATAAACACCTTTCTCTTTTATCATTTTTTCTTATCATTTTTTCTTTTTGTAATAAACTACCAAACTTTTAGATTAACTTCGTTTAATTAAGATTTCCTCCATTATAAATAAGGATTAAGATAAATGAAATACGTTTTATAAATAAATTATGTATTTATTTTAGTAATACATTTAAATTTATTGTCAAATGCATCTTGTATTTTAACCCGGCATACACTTAACAAAGGGAGCGTTTGATTGCAAGGTAAACGAATATACCTGATGTCGCATCGAATGCGGTTCTACAAGAGCTATTGATAACGTTGACACACAGAGATGCACTATCGTGCGTATTAGAAACATAAGTGGTATGTCATGTTGACGTAGCCTGCGTAAACGGTCTTAAGTGCATGTACATAAAGGTCAATATAGGATAAAGATAGAAGTTAATGCATAAATAAACGTGAAACCGATGTATAATTATCGTCCAAATTATTCGACGAATGTTTAATTCATTCAACCTTTTGTTTATTTCATTTGGTTTAATATAATATAAATTACTCAATTACTAAAATAAAATGGTGGCGGTTAACAGTAAAGTATTATATTATTTTAAAATTAATATTTTAAAATAAAATTGATAATTTAATAAATTTTTGAGAAGTTAAAACTGTTACTAAATTTTATTATATTTTTAAAAAAATATTGCTTTTTTTAATAATAAAGAGTCGAAAGAAGTAAGAACTTTTTCTCCTCATCTTAGAATTTTGAGGATAAAAAAGTAGATCTTATTTGGATAAAAGGATTTTGACAGGCAAAGTAATATCCAGCTCATGTATTTTGCTCGTTTTATTATTTCCAAAT